ACTAATTCATTCCTGGAATCATTGCTGTGTCTGAAAACACGACCATAAATAATATTTCATTGTAAAAAGTGTTTATCGTAATATCTTTATAAATACCGAACCAAATTACGATTTAATGGTATCATTGCATTCAGAAAATTATTCTCATTCCATTTCACGGCTTGTTTTCAATAAATATGAAAATCACATTTTCAATAAAAAAAAACCAAACGTCATGTGACGTCATGTGTGCCTAAGCGCATGAGACACCTTTATCGTTGTAACTGGCGTCTCGACAGTCGCCCGGTGACATTCCTACGAGGAGGCTGTGTCGCTCGTCACCAAATCCAGTCCGCCATATAGAACATTCTGGTGGCACCATGTTTGGTCGGCCGATTACCGAACCAGGGGGATGAAAATGGCACTCCACCATGTCCCTTAGTGCTATAGTGTTTTTTATGGCCTTCTGCCCTTACAAGATATCATGTTCGTGTAAGTAAAACATAATCTCGCGACCGCTGCGTACGTGGTGTGACATGAGGTCACCCACGCCCGATTCTTCGAGTTTCCGGCTTCGCCGATGGGCTCAAATGCCCATGAGCTCCTTCCGCCTGCGCGCTTCCTGCTGAGGACTGCGGCGTCAGCCCGTAGACCCCTATCATCAAGGTGCAGCATGCTGTGACGTCAAGGATTGACGTCCTGAGGCATCACCGCCATCGTCGCTTCGTTCAACGAGGGAACGTGGTACCACCAGTGATGTGTGTCGAATCGTGAGCTCAAGTATTATTACTTTTTTTGTGTACGCATGCGTCTTTTAGTCGCCACGTGTCCCATCTGGACTTTACGGACTTTTCGGGTCGACAGATTATTACATAGCATCATTGTCATTATACTTTAAGAACCATTGTTCCGCTGCGGGCCGCCGCCATGTAACTCGCGAGATTATACTAATATAAATTTCATGTACCAAAATCCGCCATCTTTGATTTGAATTCCCACGCTACGGCCTTTGTACTTCAATAGTTCATTGCTGTAACCGAGAGTTTTATCCCGGTACCTTATCAGCTGGGTATTAGCTGAAATAACACTTGCTCGTATGTAAGGAGGTTCCGTACCATTAAATAGTAAAGTAAAGTACAATATTTCGATTCCATTCTTTTTCTTTTACATACAACGTACTGAACCAATTATATATTTTTTTTTGTACATACGACATGGTCTACCCTTTTTTACCCGGCTGCGCAATGCAAGAGCGCGAAGCGCGACGCGCAGACAGGGTTATGTGTTTAACAGTCTATATATGTATGTTTGTTCCTTTGTGGCACACTAGAGACCAAACGCCTGGACCGATTTTGATGATTCATACATCAATCGATTCGTCTCAATCATGGGAGTGCTACTAAAGATATGATAGTAATCAAAATTCAATATGGGCAAAATTGAGCGCCATATTGTGACGAAGTAAAAAAAATAAGTTGACAAAATATGTCGAGTGGGGTATCACTGTCTAGATAATCAAAAATCATATTTAGGTTCCTAACACCATTTTTAATTTAATATGATTGTTTAGGATCTACAACGCTTTAAAGTTGTATATTAACCACTTACGCTTTTAATTTTAATCTTACGTTTGTATTGATTTTTGTTGCTCTTTCACCAAAAAAATACTGAATGGATTTTAATGAAATTTAACAGTAATATAGCTCATATAAGATAATTACATATATATAATAATTTATGTAGTTATTGAGTGAATTGGCCAATATATAACAATAAGTGTCACATAAGACGGAAAAAAATCTCCCATCTGCGAGCCATTTTGGCCTGCACTGAAAAAACAATAAAAGTTACATGAATGTAATGTAGTGTGAAAATGTATCTCTTTAATAGTTCTAAAAAAAGTCTGTGACACCATATATCTATTTTTAATGTGTAAGTCATTACCGCGAAAATAGTGAATCCAAACTATAATATTATTTTATATCTATTTCCAAAATGCACATTTTGTATTAACAAATCATTTTTTATCAAAACAAATACTTTTATCGCTTTTGATATTTAAAGACGATAAACTTTGCTTTTTACACTATGTCATTTCGACAAATATTTAAAAAGTTACAACGATGACAAAGTAATAGCGGGGTGTACTATGTAAAAGAAAAAAAAATGGGCTATTCGCAGTATCTGATCCTATACGAAGCACTAACAATAAAACTGTGATACAGTTCCTTCTTATTAAATGATGAAAAATATATTATCAGAATAGGTATTTATGATTATTGAAATTTAATGAATAACTCAGAATTTTACTGTTTTTCATTTTTTTAACGATATTACTTAATGTTACAAAAAAGGTTTACTTAATATAATGACAAATAACCCATTTTTCGCTAGTAAGTACATACTTATTGGAATCCCTGTATTTATTAATCACCTCGCGATAATATTGGTTTTGTAATAATTCTGCAAAATTCAAAGTAAATAATGTAGATTTTTATAGGTAAATCACCCCTTTCATCAACCTACGCCTATAAGTATTGCGATGTCGTAGCTAAGAACCAAGTTCCCATCTACTTCTATATGGGAATTCATTATATTCGATTTAGCTATTAGGGCACGGAAGCGCAACAAACAAACTCACTTTCACATCTATAATATTATATTATACTGACTAGTGATCCACCCGGGCATTGCACAGGCGCAATATATTGATCAGTAATGAGATAAGTGATTGATAAGTAACTTTTACAGATATAATCGTATAAACATTTTACTTAGTTTATTTTTAAATATTTTTCATCAATTAAATATTATTATCCTAACTATCTATAACAATATTATAAAGAGGCAAGAGTTGTATGTTTGTAACAAATATTCTTCTCAAACTACTGAACCGATTTCGAAAATTCATTCACCATAAATTGCAACATTATTTATTATTATATTTTCAAGCATTAATCTCAATATCGTCGATTAATTTGCTCGATTTATAAATCTCAAGAAAACTTTAACTTGAAAACAATCCACTCTGATCATCCCAGCCATCCCAGCTCCTCCAGAAAGCTCAGCAGTCCCCGGATGTTGCCGCAGGCTTCTACTAGTGTCCGCGAACTTCCCATTAGAGACTTTTGTCATGCAACGCCTCTGCTCTCCAGCAGAACATGGAAACTCGTTTCCTCTTCCTCCAGGCAGGCACTGCACAGAGGGCTGTCATAAATACCTATATTAAAAATGTGTTTGTTGAAGTAGCCGTGACCCGTGAGTATACCCACGATTTGTTTTAGAGCTTGTCTGGGTAGTCTGATTCACTTACGTGTTACCTGCAGGTTCACCTTAGGAACGGCTGCCCTAGCTTGCCTGCAGTCAGTGAGCTCCCTTATCCAGGTTTTCAGCTGTCCATAGGGTATGGGTACAATTGGCTCCGGGCCAATGGCCGTCCTGATGGATCCTTCCCTTGCTAAGCAGTCCGCCGCATCGTTTTTTTAATAGCTACATTATATCCGAGTGACATATGCTATATTAATATAGCATATGTCACTTGGATATAATGTAGCTATTAAAGAAAGAAATAACCTATTATTCGCTAATAGGTGCATACTTAATGGACTACCTGTATTTATTAATCAGCTCGCGATAATGTTGGTTTTGTAATGATAAACGATATTTCTGCAAATTATACTAGTGATCCGTCCCGGCATTGCACAGGCGCAATATATTTATATAAACATTATCATTATCATTAACATTATCGCGAGCTGATTAATAAATACAGGTAGTCCATTAAGTATGCACCTACTAGTGAATAATAGGTTATTTCTCATTATGTTATGTAACCCTTTACTAACATGAAGTAGTATCTATAAGTTTATTTTTTAAGCATGTATGCTACCGCGGGTTTGATGGCCGTGTCGAATTCTTTGTAGCCTTTCTTAAGCTACAAGGCAGCGCCATCTCTTCGCATTGTAGGTAACCCACAATGTCAAATGAATACCTTTACAAGTATTAAACATTTGAAAGAAGAAATAGCAATTAATAATCTTTTAATTATGTAACTGCTAGATGTTTAAATGTAAAGAAAATATTACTAGAAAAAAATACACGTGGACCAGACAGCAGACGGGACTCGAACCCGCACCCTTCGCTATCCGGGCGAATGCACTGAGATCATGATAGTGCTATCGACTTCAACTTTAATCTTTTTTATTTATTTTCAGTTTTTTGAAGTCATTTCTATTTTTATTAAAAATATTTTAGGTCTTTTTAAGGTTCACTTGCAGCAATTTTGCTAAATCTCAATTTAGCTAAAACTAGTGTAGGCCTATAACGACATACCTACAAAAACATTTTTGCATGGGCTATATTATCTAGATTTATATTGAGATTTATCAAATTTGAAGCAAGTGGACCTTAATCTTTTAGTTTAAACTGATGACCTCCAGTAACTTAGAGAATAATAACATTCACATTAAAAGAATAATAACATTATTCTTTATATGTAAAGTGGCCCGCCCTCGCTTTGCATGTGTAGAGTGTGTAGAGCTGTAGTGTAGACTATAGTTTTTGTTCAAAGGCTTGTATTAAACACAATGACTTTCTTCATAATAATTATAAACCTTCCTTTCCAAAAAAAAATTCTTCCTTGCAAACATCAGAGCAATGTTGCATTCTGTACTCCTGTACAGAATACAACATTGCTCTGATGTTCCGATTTTAAAAAAATATTTTTGTATTGCACAGTGAATTTATCGAGGAAGGCTATATATTACCAGGCTACGAACAGTAGCAGCTGAGCATCGATGAAAGATGTTACATTAACGAAGTTTTCATACGGAACCCTAACTTTTTTGAAATAACACTATAGCCTATATTAATCAGTGATAATACAGCATAGAAATGCTGAAAGAATTTTTAAAATCGGTCCAGTACTTTTTGATTCGTTACAAACATACTTACATACAAATCTTTCCTCTTTAAAATATTAGTATAGATAAAATTCTTCAACTAGGTATTATTTCAGGTACTCAATGAAATGGATGCATTACTATTTGCACTGACTTTGGAAGTAGTTCTATTACAAATGCGGATCCTCGGTAAGTTTATAGGGTGGCGGTAAGTTTATAGGGTTAACCTGTGGGGTAAACCGATTGATCCTGAGAAACTCGTATTGTCCATCTTACAAGGGCGGATCCAGCTTTGGCGCCAGGTCATATAGTCGTGGTCAAGTCACAACGGGTACAGATTGTGAAGTACAGACTGTGAAGTGGGTACAGATGCACCCAGCCCAGGGGGGGTCATGACCCCCATGACCCCCCCCCCTCTGGATCCGCCCTTGCCATCTTAGTAGTTCTATAGATCTGAGAAACTCAGGCTTCTTTAGACGGGGGCAGACAATATCCGGATAATTTCTATACAATATTATTAACACTGATTCTTTACAGCATATAATATTATGAATTGAAATCAAATAACATATACATACAATGATATTTTAAGTATATAAATAAATGTGTGCCATCCCAATTCCGATTAAAGTTAATTTACAACCAAAGTATAAAATCTCTAAAGCATTTATGTTCCACTAAATCCGGCATGGTGTGAATTTGCAACCTACTTATAAAATTATTTACTATTTAATTTAAAATATAGTAGGTATACATACATATATAAAAATTATACATAATACTTAATTATATTACCACATTGCCATCTAGCACGACTTTTTTAAGTTACAATAAAAATATAAACTAAAAGTGAGGTATGTGTCGTCCTCTAGCGGATTTTAGATTAACTAAAATACTCTATCACCTTTTCAGAGGGCACTAGCGAGTTGCGGACTCGGAAGAAAACAGCTACCAAATCGGAAAAAGCTCAGCGTTACAAACTTGAGAGGGACCGGTGAGTTAGATTGGTAACAGATGGCGTGTTTATTGAACTAAATTCTATAAAAAATAAGCTAAACCCGCCTAACAGCCTAAGCCCGAGTAATTATCATCTGGAAATCAATCATTTTTCACAGTAATAACAGAAAAACCTGTCAGAAAATGCGACCAAAAGAACTGTATAGGCCCTACACTTTCCGTAAACAAACGAAAAATAATTTAGAAAAAAAAAATTAATTTATATCCATTTCGCAAATGTACCAAATGTTTCCTATAAAACAGAAGAAAATCTAGATACTATTCCTTAAAATAGTGTATTAATGAATGTATTTCTTTTCAGACAAACATTAAAAGACGTGGTACGAAGAACAATATTGGAGATTGTAGAGAACGGCCAGTGGTCCACCCTTCAGGATGCAGTGCAGATGCTTCATGAGGAGACGTCTTACCCTGTCAAGTTGCGTTTGAATTATGAACATCTGAGAGAGTGAGAAATTTTTTAAAACTTTCTCCACAGGGACATAGTTTTTATCAGGAGTTACAATAATTCATTCATCGTCAATCAAATCTTAAGAGGTAAAGTTCGTAGTTTGAAATACATTGAATTCCCCAGACCGCACAAAAAAAATTTGAAGGACATTCGTTTGTCACAAAAAATGCACATTGTAGGTGGCGCTAAAGTCTCAAAAAAGTGTTTTTTCACTTTTTCACCCTGAAAATATCATTTTAATGGAAAACTTTAAATCGCAAAGTTGTTTCGTACATAATTACCAACAACTTTTGTATAAACAATTTTTTTGTATTACTTACCGTTTTCAAGTTATAAATTGTTATAAAATCCAGTGTCAGTCCCTAGTCTCATAATTTGATATACCTACATAATTCACAAAAACCCAATATGTAGATGCCAGAAGTTAACTTCAAATGTTTTTAATCACCCTATATACAATTCCAATCAATAACGTTTATGTCGCAGGTTGAAGAAAGCAGTAATTCCCGTTTGTTGTTTTGGACAATGATGTTGCCATCATTTAGATCACTAAATTAAATAATTATGCAATCACCAAAGCTAAGTTTATAATATTTGATTAAACTAAAGGCGCATAATAAAATTTTCATAACGTTAGGTAGAGCACCATAGCAATCTCATTTATTATCAATTTATAGTTCTCTTTGTAGTTTTCTTTTAAAGCGTTCACATATAACAGGTCAAAGACTTTGTAATCGACCCTTTTTATTGGTAGTGTAAAGCTCGAATGAAGAGTACTCCCAGTAGGGCAATCATGGCAATTATTTACCAAGTTTTTTTTTTGTTTAAAAAAATACCGAATAACGTATCACTGTTAAGCACAAATGCTAAGTAACTTTTACAAATATAATCAAATAAACCTATTACTCACTTTATTTTTAAATCTTTTTCCTCAATTAAATACTTATCTTATCCTAACTATCTATACTAATATTATAAAGAGGCAAGATTTGTATGTTTGTAACAAATAATCTGTCAAACTGCTGAACCGGTTTCAAATATTAATTCATCATAAGGTAGCTACATTATTTATTATTACATTTTTCTTTATTTAAATACATTTTGTCCGAGTGACATAGGCTATATTTTATCCCGATAAATAAATTTCGCCCGTAAAATGCCCGGGTGGATCACTAGTAAGTATAATATAATATTATAGATGTGAAAGTGAGTTTGTTTGTTGCGCTTCCGTGCCCTAATAGCTAAATCGAATATAATGAATTCCCATATAGAAGTAGATGGGAACTTGGTTCTTAGCTACGACATCGCAATACTAGGCGTAGGTTGATGAAAGGGGTGATTTACCTATAAAATTCTACATTATTTACTTTGAATTTTGCAGAATTATTACAAAACCAATATTATCGCGAGGTGATTAATAAGGAGGAGGAGCTCGATGGCGCAAGTGGTTAGCGCGTTCGGCTGCGATCGTTGAACTTAAGCAACTTTCGCAGTGGTCGGTCATTGGATGGGTGACCAAAAATTACTATCTAGAGCTCCTCCGTGCTTCGGAAGGCACGTTAAGCCGTTGGTCCCGGCTGCATCTGCAGTCGTTAGCACCTACCAACCCGCACTGGGCCCGCGTGGTGGGTCATGGCCCAATCTCCCTATTCCATCCATAGGGAAGGCCTGTGCCCCAGCAGTGGGGACATTAATAGGCTGATGATGATGATGATGATGATTAATAAATACAGGGATTCCAATAAGTATGTACTTACTAGCGAAAAATGGGTTATTTGTCATTATATTAAGTAAACCTTTTTTGTAACATTAAGTAATATCGTTAAAAAAATGAAAAACAGTAAAATTCTGAGTTATTCATTAAATTTCAATAATCATAAATACCTATTATGATAATATATTTTTCATCATTTAATAAGAAGGAACTGTATCACAGTTTTATTGTTAGTGCTTCGTATAGGATCAGATACTGCGAATAGCCCATTTTTTTTTCTTTTTGTTACTTAGTACACCCCGCTATCACTTTGTCATCGTTGTAACTTTTTAAATATTTGTCGAAATGACATAGTGTAAAAAGCAAAGTTTATCGTCTTTAAATATCAAAAGCGATAAAAGTATTTGTTTTGATAGAAAATGATTTGTTAATACAAAATGTGCATTTTGGAAATAGATATCAAATAATATTTTAGTTTTGATTCACTATTTTCGCGGTAATGACTTACACATTAAAAATAGATATATGGTGTCACAGACTTTTTTTAGAACTATTAAAGAGATACATTTTCACACTACATTACATTCATGTAACTTTTATTGTTTTTTCAGTGCAGGCCAAAATGGCTCGCAGATGGGAGATTTTTTTCCGTCTTATGTGACACTTATTGTTATATATTGGCCAATTCACTCAATAACTATATAAATTATTATATATATGTAATTATCTTATATGAGCTATATTACTGTTAAATTTCATTAAAATCCATTCAGTATTTTTTTGGTGAAAGAGCAACAAAAATCCATACAAACGTAAGATTAAAATTAAAAGCGTAAGTGGTTAATATACAACTTTAAAGCGTTGTAGATCCTAAACAATCATATAAAACGAAAAATGGTGTTAGGAACCTAAATATGATTTTTGATTATCTAGACAGTGATACCCCACTCGACATATTTTGTCAACTTATTTTTTTTACTTCGTCACAATATGGCGCCTAATTTTGCAAATACTGAATTTTGATTACTATAATATCTTTAGTAGCACTCCCATGATTGAGACGAATCGATTGATGTATCTTCTTCTTCTTCTTCTTCCGTCCCTGTTCCCGTTATCTGGGGTCGGGTCTCCTCACTCTACGGCGCCAGGTTGATCTGTCCTGGGTTGTCGGTTTTGGCAATTGGGCTTTCTTAAGGTCTCTTTCAATGTTTGACCACCAGGTCGATGGCGGGCGGCCTCTACCTCTCTTTTGTTCTGGCAAGCTTAATGCGATTTTTACTACATGGTCATCGTCCCGTCTCATGATGTGGCCATACCATCTAAGGCGATTTTCCATCATTTTGTCTGTGATTGGTGCGACTTTAAAACTCCCCCGTACGTATTCATTCCGAACTCTGTCCATCCTGGTCACCCCACCCGCCCAGCGCAACATCTTCATTTCGTTGACATGTGCCAGCTGTTCATGCGTTTTCTTGACTGTCCAACATTCGGAACCGTACAGTAAGGCTGGCCTGACGGCTGTCTTGTATACTTTACCCTTTGTTTTTATGGGCATACGGGTATCACACAGAACTCCTGTCAGCGACCGCCATTTCTGCCACGCTACATTTACACGGTGCGCAACATCGGCCTCCACATTGGCATCTGGCGTGAGCATAGATCCCAGATATTTAAACTTGTTCACAGTGGGGATAGGTGTTGATCCAATACATATGATTTCAGGAGTTGCATTTCCGCTAAAGGGGCATTTCATGTACTCCGTCTTACTTTTGCTCACTCGAAGTCCGTACTTTTCTAAAGAGTGTGTCCACGTATTTAAAATTTCTTGCAGGTCTTTTGCAGTATTTGCCGCCAGTACGATATCGTCAGCATACAGTATGGTCCGCGGTAAAGGTGCTGGAATATGGTTTGTTAGATAGTCCATCACTAGGTTAAATAGAAAAGGACTTAAAGCAGATCCCTGATGGACACCAACTTTGACCTCGAACGCGTTACTTAATCCTGCTGGTGTTTTGACTTGTGTACTGATGCCGCTGTACATATCTTGAATTATTAATATATATCTCTCCGGTACTTTTTGCGCTCTTAGAGCCTGCCACACGAGTGTGCGGGGCACTCTGTCAAAGGCCTTTTCGAGGTCGATGAAGGCAAGATGTAAATCTGTTTTGTTTATCCTGTGTTTTTCCATCAGGATTCTGACTGCCTGGATAGCATCAGTGGTTGATCTAGACGATGTAAAGCCAAACTGATTTTGGGATACATTTGTAATAGAGGACAGGCGCTTATTTATGATCCGCTCCCAGATTTTTAGAGTGTGTGAGGTCAATTTTATGCCCCTATAATTTTCACATTGGGCTACATCCCCCTTGTTTTTGTAAAATGGCAGCAGATAGCTTTGGCGCCATGATTTTGGGATTTGTGTGGTGCCTAAGACGGTATTAAACAGTTTAGTTAGCCAGTTAACTGCCGTGGGACCGAGTCGTTTCCATAGATCGGCTGGTATCTCGTCTGGCCCTGCAGCTTTTCGGTTCTTCATGCTAGCTACTGCAAGTTTCACTTCATGCGAATCTATTTCCAGTAATGGTCCGCAGACATGTTCAAGGGGGGCGGGATCTTCGTGCGGGAATTCTTCATTTAGTAAGTGTTCATAGTATTCTTGCCAGCGGTGCATAATTTGGATATTATCTGTTAGTAAGACTTGCTCCTTGTTCTTAATGTATTTATTCATTTTGATGTCAATTGAAGCCTGATGTCTATGTTTAGCTATCTTAAGTACATCTTTTTCTGATTTAGCTGACTCTAACCTATCATAAAAAGCTTGATTTGCATTCGCTCTTTCCTGGGCTATGCAAGTTTTTGCTTGTCTTTTAGCTTCTTTATATTTATCCTTGTCATCATTTGTTTGTGAACTTTGCCACGCTTTGAATTGGGTTTTCTTGGTAAGTAAAGCCTGCTTTATTTTGTCATTCCACCATTTGGGATCTTTTCCGGAACGAAGAGGCCCTTTCGAAACACCCAATACTTCTGCAGCTTTCGTTCTACAATATTCTTCAAACTTGGACCACATAATTTCAGCTTGGTTGTACTCTGTATCCAAATCAGCCTCAAGGTAACTCTTAATATCACCTAGCAATATTTCGCCCTTAGGACCATCCAGCTCTTTCCACTTTGTCTTCGGTGTTCTATCCACCATTACCTTCAAGGCCCTTGGCAGATCATACACGGCTACTAGGATGCGATGTTGGGATGTAAGAGATTCACCAGGAATTACTTTGCAATCTTTGAACTTCTGTTTCACAGCAACGTCGGACATTATGTAGTCTATTTGAGACGTTTTTTCAGCACTCTTGTAAGTAATTAGGTGCTCCGGCTGTTTTTGAAAGTTGGTGTTTACTATAACTAGTGAATGTCTTGCAGCAAAATCCAAGATGTCCTCTCCTTGCTTGTTTAGCATACCAAACCCAAACCCGCCATGTACATTACTGTAGGTGCTGTTAGTTTTTCCAACATGTCCATTCATATCGCCTCCTATGATCTTGTACTCATTACATGGTATGTCCTGCATTAACTCATCGAAATCCTCCCAAAATTCAGCCTTTTCTATGTCTGTACAGCCCGTTTGTGGAGCATACGCTGATATTATGTTGGTTATTTGCTGGTTGTCTAGCGCGAATTTCACGGATATTAAGCGGTCACTCTTCCGTGTAATGTTTATTATTCGGGACTTGAATTTGTGATCCAGGACCACTGCCACGCCGTTTCGTTTATTGTCCACACCATGATATATGACCTGGTAGTCATTGCCTATGTCTTTTGATTTCGAGCCTTTCCATTTAGTTTCTTGAAGACAACAGATATTGATGCGTCTTTTTAGTAGAATTTTGCTTAACTCTTGACTCCTGCCCGTCAGAGACCCTAAGTTCCAGGTTGCAAGTCTTATACGATGTAGATTTTGATGCGAACTTTTGTTCTTGTCCAAGTTATCGTCGCTTGGGGGGAACGCCCTAGTATTTATCGCATCGTTCGCATTTACGTCGCTTATGGGGTACGCCCTAGTAGATTTGCCCTTATCCATTTTTCGTTGTACTTTCATGTTTCTATATATATTGTGAGGAGAAGATGGTACTGGCTATACTTTTTACGGCCGGCTGCCGCCTGACGCCAAGGCAGTAACTCTCTTGGAGAGCTTGGGCGCCACCGTTGGGCCGAGACCTCATCCGCCGCCATCCCTTTCACACCATCCTGCCTGACGATGTGACTCCAGTGCAACCTGGGGCTCACATAATGTGAGGCAGCTTGCCACTGGGTAATTGCCTCTTCCGCCTGCTCCACCGTACTGATGTCCTTCACCTCCGCTGTTGCAGCCGTTGAGGTCTTCACCCGTAACCCTGGGCAGGGGACCGCGATATACCCCGCAGTACTGGGTCCTCGATCCGAACTCTGCCACTCGTTCACCTCGGCCTACTGAAGTGACGAGTGCCCACCCCCGCGGCATGGACGCGCCGGACGAGAATTGCCCAAGTGGGAGATAGAGAAGGTGGCTCTATATCTCCAAGGGCCGGGTTAATGGTCGTGTTTGATACCACAACCAAAGGCAATGTATGAATCATCAAAATCGGTCCAGGCGTTTGGTCTCTAGTGTGCCACAAAGGAACAAACATACATATATAGACTGTTAAACACATAACCCTGTCTGCGGGTCGCGCTTCGCGCTCTTGCATTGCGCAGCCGGGTAAAAACACATAACCCTGTCTGCGCGTCGCGCTTCGCGCTCTTGCATTGCGCAGCCGGGTAAAAACACATAACCCTGTCTGCGCGTCGCGCTTCGCGCTCTTGCATTGCGCAGCCGGGTAAAAATCAACCCAAACGGGTGTCATAATGTTTTTTTAATGATGATATTTGATGTTTTAATGTTGGCAATAAGCTAACTGTTTCAGAATCTATAATAGTGGCTTTATAGCATGGTTGTAGATGTAGTAACTTTTTAATCATTATAATTTTATTTATTAATTTATTACATTAGGCCATGATATTAGGTGGAATGTGAATAAAAGGCATTGGAAGTTTGATTGAACTTAATTTCCCGCGCTTTGTCGATCGTGTTTTGTTTTCGGGATTTAAGAATAGTTTAGCAAAATCGTTCTAGTTTTTTATTTAGCTACTTTGTTTAATTTAAATTGTTCCTGTGAAGATAAAGTAGTGTATACAACTCAAATACAACTATCTATACTATACCTATATATCGATATAAGTGAGGTATACCCCGACTTACATGACAGTCGCATTTAAACTACTATTACCTTCAGGTCTCTTGCTGCAATCATGAGTGAGCTGGTGGCGAAACAATCACAAAATGTACTTGAACTACGCAATGCCGATCAAAAGATTGCCTATCTTCGTGACGAAACTAAGGTAAACAGAATTAATAACTGACATGTATTAAAATAGTAATAGATGATGCAAAATGAAAGCAAAACGATAGTACAGCTGATCTATGTTAAGTAGATACTAGACTTATGTTTTAAAACAGTTGAAAACAATGACATGAAAAGCAACTAGCAACAAAGTTAGCTTTTTCTAAATTTGCTACGGGTCCCTAAATGTTCGAAGTCCAACATGCACTTGGCTTGTTTTTAGGATGATCTACAAAACGCTAATGCCAGGTTACTCTACGTAGACAAATGGCTATTGGCTCGCCACGAATCTTTAGAGATGCAGATCAATTTGGAGCCGCGTGCGCCGGCACCACAGTTCGACCATGAAAACAGAGTCCACAGCGAGCTTCTTAAAGCTTATGAGCTTCAGATACAGGTATATAATATTTATGAGCTTGACAGTTTCTTCTAGGTAAAGCTGAATAAGAGTATCAAATACATGAATAATCCGCAAAAAAATTTGCTATTCCCAGTTGTTACCAATGGTGTAGTTCCCATTGGTAATGAATGGGAAAATGCACTCCTTAATGTTATAAATTTGCCAATGGGATAGGAATGTTCTACTTGTTCGGTCCCAGTAAATGAGAAAAACAATTCCCAATTATTGCTAGTGTTGGTTTATAGTGTCGCCAAGAGAATAAAATAAAATTCTATACCTACTCGTACATAATGCATGAAATTTCATTTTAAATAACTACATTGAAGTACCTTCTTACCTGCGGAATTTGATTTAAATCTGTTCTAAACAGGAACGAGAACAAGCTTTACAGCACTGGAAGCAAAGATATTCGGAAGACACGGCCAAAATTGATAAACGCCTGACTAATAAATGTGAGCAACTGCGTGAAGCCATAGCTTGTCGGCAAGAGTTGCAGAAATTGGTAAAATAAACAAGTCGTCCCATCCACACAACAGAAAGTCTTACTGTCTTCAACATATCTTCATGTAGAACAATTCAGTTATTTAATTAAAAAAGATGGCACTGCGGTTAATGCGTTCAGCTTCAGACTTCAATTAAGTATCTCTCACATCCTAGTTCAAATCAGCATTGTAGGGCTCAGTTTACGAGTAACGGATAAAAATAAATAAATAATAAATATTTCCAATACTTACACCAATTAGCCTAGCCCCAAAGTAAGCAATGTAAGGCTTGTGTTATGGGATACTAGGGTAACGGATAGAATACATATACCGTACATAATTAAGTATATTTATATAGAAGTACATATTAAACATCCATGACTAGATAAAACTAGTTTTTCACGGGTTAATGCACGAAACTTTATTTATTTATTGACGTTTCGCAGCCTTTATAGGCTGCATCGTCGGAATCAATAATAATAATGCGAAACGTCAATAAATAAATAAAGTTTCGTGCATTAACCCGTGAAAAACTATGTTATTTAATGAGTGATGTGCGTGAAAACCTAAGAAACAAATACGTATCCATGACTGGAGTACAAATGCTCGTATTCATCACACAAACATTTGCCCCCACCGGAATTCGAACCCGGGACCTCCGAGTCGGCGACACCATGAAACCCGGCGTATAAACCACTCAGCCACGGAGGTCGTCAATATAAATAGGTAAGGTACATAATAATATAAACGACCGATAAATAACTTTTTTTTGTAGGAATATGCTATACCCGTTAATAACAGTCATAAGTTAGGTTAGTACCCCGTATCGTACCCGTGTTCACATACAAACACTTTCCCCACCGAGATTCAAACCATTAACTTCTGAGTTCGTCAAGTACCTAACAACAATTTTTGTTATTTCTTTATTTTAACAGTTTGACTTGCATACTGGCGAGATGCGTTCATGGCTGACATTCAAAAGCGAGCGAGCCGCACGTTTAGCCAGAGAGAAGCGACTGAAAGACGCCGCAACGCGTCTGCAGGCGTGGTGGCGAGGTGTCATGGTACGCAAAGCTCTGGGCGTTTTTCGTTACCTGAAGAACTTGAAAAAGACTCCAACTAAGAAGAAGAAATAGTATTGTTAGAATTATACTTTACACATTTGAAACAAATAAAATGTTTTTTTTTATCGACTAAAGCAGAAAATATAGTTATTTATAAAGTAGATGAATATCTCCTACTTACTTGAGTATTATAAATACCAATAGCGAAATCCTATAGAATAAGAGCCCACGAGTCCCAAGACACTAAACGTAGTATGATGAGACTCCCAGATGATATATATATATATAACATATATATATATTTATATATATATATATATGTTGTTTTTGAATTGTGGCCAGAGTTAGAATGGTGACAACGTAAGCCAGCGCGCGTGGTCCTCTGAAGGAAAGGGGAAGGTGGAATAAGAGAGAATAACTCCTCAGAGTGTCGTGTAGCGACAAAATAAATAGAATAAAAAAAAAGGAGAAAACAGGAAGAGGTTATAAAATATATATATTTGCAAAAATAAGTTTTTACAGATAGAATATTTAAAAAAATAGAGGTTTGATGTGAGATGTGTGAAGTGTGGGGTGTGAAGTATGTAGTGGTGAAGTGGGCGTGGGTCGTCGGCTATCTTCAGTGAAGGCTTGAGCGGGTGGCCATGCTGTTGGCAGACGGGCGGCACTCCTGGAGGGCGACAGCGCTCCTGTTCCGATGTCTCTCCTGTCAGCGCTTGACCTGCCCTGCTGGTGGTTGGAAAGCGCTGTTGATAGGTTGGCTGGCGATTCCGGCGGCGAAAAACGATGGATCGTCCCTGAGGTACGTTACAAGAGCACGCGCCGTGGTACTGCCAATAAAACGCGCTTAGTGACGCCACGTTACGGCGTAATTGAAGAGGATCGAGGTGTATAGTCACCTCCTCATCGCCTATGATGCTGATCGCGCGCCGCTGTAACCTATCCAAAGCATCGAGCAAGTACTTGGCGGAACCATCCCAGAGGTGCGGGTAATATTCCACGCAAGACCGCACCTGCGTCTTATACAACAAGCACAGTTGCTCGGGTGTGAAAAAACGCCGCACCTTGTTCAGGACTCCGAGTTTGCGTGAGGCCATTTTTATCACACTTTCAATGAATTTCTTTGGATTTAAATCACAGCGAGTCTCCATACCGAGCATGGTGATACTGATCTCTTGCTCCAGTGTTGTGCCCTGAAGAGAAGGACATAAAAGGAATGGCGACGTTTTTGCCGTGAAAGCGCAGACCTGGGTTTTCTTAGCATTGAACTCAACCAAATTCTTTCAGAAATGTGGTCCAAGCCTGATTGAGTTCAATGACAAGATTCTCCCGTTTCTCCTTGGTTACCGCATGTCCAGCCGCTGCTTGTCCGAGATACCCCGCATGCACTGTATTATCGTCTGCATAGCAATGAATATTCCCAAGAGGAATTAAGTCATTGATATGCTGGAGAAAGAGAGGATGGAACGGAGCCCTGGGGAACGCCGGCATTCACTGATATGAACCGCGAACTGCTACCATCCGTAAGGTCACGAATTCTACGCTCATGCAGGAAGTCAGGTATCCAAGAACAGAACTGGCCCGGAAGACCGTATACCGGAAGCTTGGAAAGAAGGCTTTTGTGTCAGACCCTGTCGAACGCTTTGGCAATGTCAAGGCTGATAGCTAACGACTCGCCCCGCTTGTCGATAGCCTCACCCCAGTTATGAGTCAAGTACGCTAGAAGATCACTCGTCGATCATTTCGGTCTAAAACCATATTGACGATCATTAATCAGGGAGTGATGCTTTGGGTGGCTCAGATGGTTGTTAAGGACCTTTTCTAGGACTTTACATAATTGATCCGGGATCTTTAAGAGCGCGGCCTCAGATCCAAGCACGATATGCCGCTTGCTTATGCGAGGCAGCTTCAGCACAGTCGTGATTGAACCAGAGGTTACGTGTGCCCTTACTGATGATATTGGAATGTAGAATATAGTACTCCATACACATTACAATCCCCTCAGTAATAGCAACGGCGCTGGCTGATAGGTCCTTGTCACTAAAGCAGCGCTGCTTCCAAGGGACGGGCGCAAGGTAGTCACGCATACCGTCTAAAATCTGCCGACCCATAGTGCCGGATCCGGCGTTTTACCACCGTTGGGCGTGGAGGCTTGGCCTTGGGCTTTGGCAGATATCAGGCAGTGATCCGAAGAGCCCAGGAGGGCTCCTACCACAACCTGATAGCCCTGTGAATGGGTCGTGAGCAGAAGGTCCAGTAATGAAGGCGCTTGACTTGAAATATCCTGGTACGAGTAGGCTGATCGACTAGTTGCTTCAAGGCATGCGTGAGAGCTAATGCGTGAGCAGAGACCCCTGCATGGTCGGTTTTCGAGGAACTTAACCACAAATTGTGGTGAATATTAAAGTCCCCCAAAAAAACCAATTCTGCATTTGGAAATTGCTCCTGCGTGTCATCTGCTGCCCGACTAAGATGTTCAATAAGTCGAGTTGTCTCAACATCGCCAGTATGGGATCTGTAGAGGCACACGTAGACTCTGGGGACCAGAGCGCTGGAAGAAAGTGGAGGGAGCGTGTTTGCGCATGGGTACACTTGCACACAAAAGTTATTAGGTCGTCCTGGGTGAGATGAAAACCAGATGAGGAAGGTAACTTCTTTAGCAACTTGCCTATAGGCAATTCTTTTTCAGTGAAGTGGAAATTGTGCATGGTTCTTTTTATAACACCAAAACTGTCAATGTCTGTAATTGGTTTTTGTTTAATTCTTTTATTTTTGCCGGGAGTTCGGAATACAGTAAGAAATTCTGAATCATTCGAACCTTTTACAATTCGTTTCACTGTAGACTCTGAACATTTAGTTGCCTCTGCGGTCCGTTTCATACATTGAAATTCCGATTCCTGACACAGGCTACATCTTCAAGTCCCGCCGCATGCGCAAGGACCAAGGGAGCGGCTGGCTGGCGTGGCGCTGAGCTAAGACCTACATAAATGGCGTCGCCAAAGGAGGGTAGACTGACACAAAAATTTAACCCTTAGGTTCGAGTGGTCTAGAGGCTTCAGACGGAGAGGAGACTCCCCTCGTGGTGAGATACCATCCGCCTGGAATACCTCTAGAGGCACTCGCCAATTCTTGGGTTGAGGTCCTCTTGACCCCAAACCCGGTGACGCTGAAACAGCATACACACTCAAAAAAAAACGTAGCCTAATTTATAGAAACCAAAGTCCGTATCAATTCCAAAGCTTCTAAAAAAGTTGGAAGCACTGATTATTAGAGGATCTAGTAGTCAGGATCCGTAAATTAATGTATATCTTTAAAAAATTACGAACCGTTGCAGGTCCAAAACTAATTAAACAGGTAATATACCTGTTTAAGCCTTATTATGCCAATGAGTAATTCAATATTGTTTTACTTTATGGGGTGGAGCTCTCAAAACTAATCCCTCTCCAGCGAGCTCGGAGGGCCATTTTAAAAGTAGCCAATTCTCTTTCCTTTCTATAGCCTACGCATCAACTTTACAAATATTGTAATGTGTTAACTGTTCGCCAGCTTTTCATTATGCACACCATATTAAAACAACACACCATTTCACCTTTTCGCTCTGATATCACTAACAAAAGACGGAAAGATATAGTCTGCATCTCTACACATGATTCAAAATACATGTTTCCACATAGATTCTCTACTTTCTTAAGTACTTCCTTATTTAATAAGTTAAATAGAGTGTTAAGTTTTTATATATTAAACTATTTTAACTGTAGAAATGTAGTATTTAATTATTTGCACAGCCTTATTACTTTTTAACTCCATGATTTACAACGATTACTTTAAGTTCTGTTTTAATTCAGTTGTTGATTTATTAATCATAAAAATGTATTATTTTAGATCAAGCCTAAAATACAGGTACGATTTATACTGTAACCTAGTTCAGGCATCCTTTTATCCTTTATTTTGTACTTTTTTTATTATTATTATGCAATCTTTGAAGAAAGATAGGTATATTATTATTATTATTTTTATTATTATTATTTCATTCACTTTTTGTCACATCACTATAAAATTTTACCTATTATTTTTTTCATTCATTCGTCATTCCGCGCCTTTTCTTTTAATTTAATTTTATACCAGAATACCAAGTCATGTAATTAAAATACTTGTATATATTAGGAAACACCATATTTCAGCAGGATTGAAGTAGCAGATCGGTTTTTGCATGAGAATAGTTTTATAAACGTACTAGAACAATGTTCTTGTACCCATAGATAAATGATTGGTCTCGCTTCACTCCACTAGATACTAGATACCGCGCTATCAAAAAACAACAGCTCCGGTTATGGGGCAACTCATTATTGTAGTGTGTGTATGTCACTCTGCAAGGACGGTGTCATATGTCAAAAAAAATGTAGCCAGCTGCTCAACTGCTACCCCAGTAATAGGGAAAATATTTTATGCTGTTGTCGATCCACACTAACAATACCAATTACAAAATCCGTACATATTAAATGAATATATATCATTTTTAGTATTTTTTTTTGCAAATATACGTGATGCATGCAGGCGCGAATCCTAAAATTTTATCACGCTTGCATAGTTAGTTTCTTTATTTTTATCCCACCTGTCAATAGTTTGGTTACAAATTCTTATAAGTGCCGCCGTAGTCTGAGTGGTATGTACGCCAGTTTTGATGGTGTCGGCCTTCATAGGTCATAGGTCCCGGGAGCTAGGCTAATAGATGTGAGACTTTCGATATATATAAATATTTATTATACATTTAGTGATATCGATTCTGGCATGATTCTCTACAGCTAAACTAAAATTTGACAACAGTGCATCCTTGTCATTCTCTATACAGAATGAAAAGGAGAGACTGATTTTAAATTAAGTTTTAAGTAAGAGAATCATGTCAGAATCGACACCAGTGTTGAGTAAATTTATAATTATTAGTAACCATGCAGACACTAGAAATTGAAATAAAAGTATACAATATATATAGTTAAAACTATTAAAATAAGCAGGTTAAGAAAAGAATAAAGTTTATTATCAAAAAATAAAAATTACATGCCACTAACTTGAACAAGTTTACGATAAATTTGCCTTTTAAAATTCCCTGACTTTTGCAAAAATTTTCTTTCTTCCAAATGTAATGGAGTCGTATTTGTATAAACTTCTCCACTACTAGTCGAATTAAATTAATCTGATGTATGGCACCATTAACATGACTTGAGGCGAAATTAAAATATCTTTTAGAACCCGTCCCGATGGATTTTTTCATGACATCAATTACATTTTTTTTATATATTAAATTTGATTTTATGTGCGACACTTTATTTATATTTTGTATTATAGATTCTGAAACCAAGCATATTAAAAATACATCTTCAGAGGCATATGATAATCCACCTCTATCTTTTAACATCACAAATTTATGAAACCAAGAATGATTTTTAGCAGTTAAATTATCAATACAATGACAGCATTTCAATTTTTTTGTTAAGAACTCGACAACAAAACCGGCTACGTATCCAACAACGTGGTTTTTAAATTTCGACATGTATGGCACATCCAAGAATTCTGTGATCTCGTCAAAATCATCCTTAACTTTTTCTAGTGCATTTAATAATACTGAATCTTCTTCTTCGAAACGTTCCCACATGAAAATGAAATTTATTGGAATTTTCTAGAAAAACTAAATAATTTGCAAGATAAAGAAGGCCTCCATTTAGCTAATAAAATAACGAAACGTCATTTAGAATTTCGCAATAATATAATGAAGGTAAAATTTGCTTCAAATTATTAAGTTTCCTTTATTATTACCCGCACCATAAGCTATCCCTGAGGCCCAAGCACGAGTTTTTGACAGCTGTTTAACGCTAACGTATCGCAACGTCAAAGTTTCTATGAAAAAAACTAAGCAGCGCCACTGACACCATGTATAAACTAGGAAAAAGCTAACTTTTTCCATACAAAATTTGACCATAACGATACTTTACGAAGCTGTCAAAAACTCGTACTTGGGCCCCTGTGCTCAATTTTATTCAATTAATTTCAACATTTTTTCCAAAATTGTGATGTTTTCTTAACCCCCCCGATTTATTTTCAAATATTTTCGATTCACTAACACGAATAGTTTGTATTTCATAAAGAGGTCAAATGAAATGGGTCATATAACAGTATATTCATATTATAAAAATCTCAACCATAGGGACTTTTATATTGCGTACTTGGCAACACTAAATGACGTTTATTTTTCATGAAATTTTACATCGAAATTTCGAAATTATAAGATACTTACTGATGGTATGTGATCCCAGTGTCCTTTTTATTTTTTGAACTATTATTCTTACAACGTTTCACAACACAAGCTGACATTTTGCTGCGGATTGTGCTCTAAATTGATTAAAATATGCGGGACTAACACCTAAAGCGCAGCTGTCAATGTGACTGACACGGCGAAGGCTCGGGTCTGCCGATTTCGGCATAGTATTTGTTGCCCCATTAAACAAGTACGCCGGCGGTATCTAGTCGAGTGAAGCAAGACCAATCATTCATCTATGCTTGTACCTTTTGACAGAGGGGAAATGTCTGGGCCTGGGCCTGTGCCAAAGCGTCCTACAGCCCTCAATTCATACGCAAACGTCAACTTTAAATTCAACGCAAGGTGGAAATGAATTACACAATCTTTACCGCCGCACAAAAAAATCAAGGCTGTATGAATTTGATACTATTTGCCTTAAAATTAAAACAAATGATCGGCTTTTTTGGCGGGATTTCATCGAGTGCGGTTGGCGTCTTATTTTAATTATTCTTAAATTCGTTCATAAGGGATATTGTGAAATAAAATTGGTGTGGTTTTGTGTAACAACTGTCTGCGTAACTGAAGAATTAGTGGAATCATTAAAATATACGCTATTCCGGTCAAGTGGACGTGAGAATTTTATTGTAGTGTTGACTACCTCACAGAAGCTTATCGAAAAAGCCAACTCGATACATTTCGTGCCAAACACTCCAAGAAACATTAGAATGCGTCACACCGACATTCTAATGTAAAAACAAAAAGAAGATAAATTTAATTAAAGATTAGGCTGTATGGACATTGTTCCCTTTGCCTTCCCTAAAACGGGAGAACTTCAACAAAAAAAAAACAAATGATCCACACGTGACATATGGTGTCAATGTCAGAATGACAGTCAGCCGCAAGCAAAAACTTTGTGTCAGTACTTCAGGGAGTCGTTGTCATCCTCGTGTAGCGTTTAGCCGTATTGTGTTGAGCAGTTGTGTTTGCAACTAAATTCAGTTTCTTATTTTACATAAATCTCGATGTTTTGTGTAATGTATTCAATAAAAGTATATATTGATAGACATTATTAATATGTTATAGTGTGTCGCATAATGCGCAACATCAAATTAAACTGACTTTCTATAACGAATTCTCAGAACTTGGGATTTTTCAACAGTTTTTTACTGGTGAGTAATAATTCTCTTCTTGTACGTAATTATGTTGTATTACCGCGTAATTCAGACGAGGTAGGACGCACATTCGTAAAAATAAGCTCAATTGTAAGCATTAACATTGAATACATACTCTTTACTTTTGTAAAGCGGACCGGCGTTTTTAACGTATCATAAAATAAATGTACCTTTTCTGTCATTGACGTTTTTACTTAGATTGGGACATGTTTATCTACAAAATTACTGCACGTTATTTTATAATTAAAAATATGTATAATGTACCTGCATAAATGTTATTTTTCCTATCCCTTGGAATGAAAGTTCATTTAAATTTTGTTGTGCATACACAATAATTTTTTTAAAAATCTAAATGACTTTTCTGAGAACATATTCATAGTTAAAAATTATAGTTTTATTAACAAAAGGACTGTGTGATAATGCCATATTATAATTTTACAGTATATATTTTTATTTTGTCAATTTCATTGTTTCATACAAACTTAGTACTTACTTGGATTTTTTAAATTCTATCATACTACTCTTACTCAGTTGCATTAAACTTAAATTTGGTCATGGCCACAGCTAAAATTCGAGGAGATCAGATGAATCAGGTCACAAAACATCAATAAAAATAAATTTTAAAAATATAAAGTTAATATGTATTTTATTATTTACGCATTGGTGTAGATTCCAGGATGATTCCAAATTTAAAAGTAAATTTAACATCAATCTCCTTTTAACATTCTCTCACCAAAAAGGAGGAAGTTTTCAACTCAACTGTATGTTTGCTGTTTGTTTTATTATTATAATTTACATCATGCTTATTATAATGAGCAATCACTAATTAATATTGATACCTATAAATGAACTACCTTTCAACTTTTGTTGCCAAAAAAACTTATAGTATCATTAGTTAGTTATGTGTAAAACACAAGTAATACAAAAACAAACTCACTCCACATTTCATACATGAATGAGATGACAAATTAAGAAAAAACACTACTAGCCTTATCATCCTGTTTTAAAATTACTACAAGACTATCATTTGTACCTATGATTGTGTTCTCTGAAGTCATTTTCATTATTTTAAAATTGATTGTATCAACAAAATTTAAGTGAACTACAAACGAGTAATAATGAAATTCCTTGTAGGTACTATCGCGGAATTTTGCGCTCTGTCACTTGGCGAACAAAATGCTTTGACCGGTTTTCTACAGTAGTTTTTACTACGCCCCGCCTTCGCGTCGGACGCGCCAATCCGGGCCGCCTCACAAAAGTAAGACAGAGAGCATTTCATTGATTGAATAATGAATTGAATTGCATTTGTTTTAGTTGCAATTTGTCATCCGCAGCGTGATCGCGACAGCGCTATACGAAAAAGTAAGACAGCGATAATTACATGTCTATGAATGATTTTTTACTGCGCCGCTACCGCAAGCGATTATGGCATTATGGGTGACAGAGCGGGTCTTTCCGCGAGTGTACCTATTTCACTAATAAATAATATTGTAACATTAATTATGGAATGTATAAATAATTTTTAGTTCAATCTATGCTATATGATCTTTCAAACACTTTAAAGCTTTTAAATCACCTATCCCTCAAGTTTCCCAAGTATATAAAAATACCTGATTAAATAATAATAATAATAAAATAAAATCATTTATTGCAGGTAGCTAAGACCCATATTTAAAACATGATACAATATAAAAACTAATAGTAACTAATTAAAAATACATTTACGTTATTATAATACAACGTCAATCTTCTATTTGCGATTCCCATTCGTGTGCACAGATAGCCAATATCTATAAATTGGATTGTTAAAATCCGCGTACAAACATTTTAGTATGCGGTTACCAGAGCAACGCAGTCCCTCCCAAAAAGAAGCTATGCGCGCCCTAATAACAGCATAGAAGTCCGATACCCCAGCCTCCGCGAACATTGTAGAAGCACTGCAAAATCTCGGCAGACCCATCAGAATACGAAAAATATCATTATATTGAACCCTGTTGGTACTATGCGACCTCCTGCTGTACTTTATCCACAGTTGACTGGTGTGGAAACTGACACAATAGGCATTAAACAGCGTCAATTTTACCTGCCTGCTACACCGACTAAACCTACGGGCGACCATATTACCCGAACAGCCATCGCCCTTCTTTCACGCTCTATGTACACATCGTCTTTCAAATCTTCGGTCAGTATATGTCCCAAGTACCGGAATTGGCTTACAACCCGAACAGGTGTACCGTTTAATTTTACACTAGGCACGTTATCTGGACCCTTTCCTGCCTTAAATACCAACATTTCAGTTTTTTGAGCATTGTATTTCAGACCATGGGAATTTATATAATTCTCACAGACTGAAAGTAGCTTCCTAAGGTCCATAATGGAAGGACTCAGGAGCACCATGTCATCAGCGTAACTAAGACTGTTAACACAGGTCCCACTCACGTGACATCCAATTTTGGTGCTCCTCAGTCGTCCCATTAAGTCATTCACATACAAATTGAAAAGATCCAGAGATTAAAATTAAAATTACCAATTAATTACAAAAGTCAAGTAGGTAGTTGCAAAAAAATAAAAATTGAGATCTGTTCTGGTTTTTTTGCGTAATTATTATGTTTCTGGGTGAACTGCATCCAAAATAACTTCGACACTGCGGTAAACACTTAACTACATACATTTATCATAGAATGTCACATTTTTCGACAATGTAGGTATCTATGTTGAACATGTAATGATCCTAAAATAAAAGATAAAAGACAAAAAAAATTAAATCTGAATTAGGTAATGAGACTTATAGTCTCTATAAAGCATCCGACAGTAATCTATGTGCAGGTATACTTTTTCCATTTACTTAATATTTTGATGTAATCATTCAGCTTTGCTCTGCACTCACATCTCCTAAATTTTATGGAAAATAGTCATGGTGGGATTGAAGAAAATGTATTTATAAACTCATTAGGCAACCTAACTAAAGCTTGAAATGCTCTTAACGTTTATTTGATGTGATTTGTTTATAAAAACTATTTAATATTGCTTAAACATTTATCTATGACAATCTACCCTTCTCTTAGAGGATCATGGTTGTGATGAATTGTGGACTAGCCATAAGCCGTCTAATATCAGGTCCAACGAAAACACTTTCCTAAAACTATGAATTAGGCCAGCCCTGGAAACTTAGATATGAAGTATATAACAGAAACTGTCAGACAAATTCACACACTTCCCCACAGTCGACATTGCACTAGTATATTGATCCAAGATCTAAAATCAATGATGATTTAACACATAATTGTACCCACTATCCACACTATTAAATTAGCTCTCAGATCGAGTTAGCCCAAAACCCCATTTTTATGATAAAATTTTGTGATTTGCAAATAACCTGACATTCTGGAATTTTTTGGGTATTGTTTTAGTTTTCAGACCACTTTAATACCTAGAAATCAGTAGAAAACATCCAGACAGTTATTTTACAAAAAAATTACAAAAAGAGCTACTTTGTAAAAAGTTTGTAGCTTAAAAGTACTAATACTGTAGGTATTTTAATAAATAAATAACCCAAAGATTAGAATTTTAGAGGAAATTTAGGGAGGCTTAATTTGGGATAATTTTATGGTAACTAAATTTTAAAAACCAACTTTTTTAATTCTTTATTAGCTGTGCCCCGCAGTGTTAATATTTCCCCGCAGTAAAACGTAGTCTATGTGTTAATCCAGGGGGTCAGCTACTCCTCCACACCAAATTGTATTAAAATCGCTACAACCGTTAAGACGTGAAAAAGTAACAAACATACACGCTCACACACTCTCAAACTTTCGCCCTTTTAATATTAAAATGATTATCTAATGATTTAAAGATCTTAAATTCAGTCTTAATAACAATATGTAATCAAATTTTTCATTCTTTAGTGAAACAATCTTTTTAGATAATTAATTTATGATGACTATTAATGTCCTCTCTGCTGGAGCAGATGCCTTTCCTATGGATGGAATAGGAGAATATTACCAAAGTATAATTACACTATTAATAAAATACTATCATGTTAAGAGAAATTATTATTATTAATTTAGGCAGGGTATTGTGGTTATCCCATTGAAGCACCAGTCTGGAGAAGTTACTTATCACCTTACAGAAGACCACAGTGAAATCATCATGATCCTATTAATAATATCTTGGATTTTACGAAAATACGAATCATTAGACAATTGCGATGACATTTCTCAATCTTAACAGTAAGATAGGATTTTTGTAATAACGCGAGTCACCATAGTAAGATTGCGCTAAATCCTTAGGATTTTCCCGAAAATTCGATTTATCAATTAATTTGTATTGGTACAGGTGTATTGAACTGTTACAACGTCACACTATCAAATTATAAAGTCATCTAATTACTGACTACCCTTATCTGACCTACGACATTTCAGGTACTGTCTAATTATAAGGATGCAGATTTAACAGAACTTATAACTTCTTTAATTAGGTTGTCGCTAAAAGATGATCTTGAATTTCTAATGGTAATGAAATCATTCCACAGAACAATGTCGCCATAGCGGCTAGGTCTTTTTAGATTCTGCTTCAAATGTGAGAACGCGGTAAATATCCTCTTATGTTTTGATTAGATTTTTTAGTCTCACATTCATTAGTAAGTCAGTAACGGTGTAAAATCGATGTCATGTAAACAGTTTCGTAGGCGGATGTATCTATGCAAAAAAACGAAACGAACTATGGGCGCTTCCTGTAAACTATGTAGCGCGTTCTTAATTTGTCAAAACAGCGTAGCTAATAGCAATTATTGACAAATATCTGTATAAAAAAATTTCGCAAAGTCCGTTTCAACTGATTTCACCGATTTGATACGACATCAGTATAACAAACAAACATTTATGCTTAAATTACTGTGTCTGTGCGTTTCAAATAAACCGTGCCTGATAATGTTTTTATCGTTTCACTTGATTAAATACAACCCAATATTCCAGTAAGGAATTTGTAAAATACATACACAG